CATGTACGACTTCCCTTCCTGCAATATAATGCTGCATGATGGTGATGCAGCTGATTACTTTGCTGCTGAATTGAAGGAAATGCTCTTATTGAAAAACTCTTATTTATATAACAAGTGATTTTCCTCTTGGTTTGGTGTTGGAAGGGAGAGAGAGCTATCAGCTGTTTTGTCATTTGACAAAAAAAAAAGAAGCTATCATGGCAAAAATAATCACAGAATCCCAGCATGGTTGAGGTGGGAAGGAAGCCCTGGAGATCATCTGGTCCAATCCCTCTGCTCAAGCAGGGCCACCTACAGCTGGCTGCACATGACCATGTCCAGAGAGTTTTAAAATATCTCCATGGATGGAGATTCCACAGCCTCTGTGGGCAATCTGTGTCAGTGCTTGGTCACCTTCACAGTGAAAAAGTGTCTCCTGACGTTCAGAGGGAACCTCCTGTGTTTCAATTTGTGCCTGTACCTTCTGGTCCTGTTACTGGGCACCACTGGGAAGAGCATCTGTACAGTTTAAGGAGTTCCTTAGCAGAGATAGCCATAAAGGACTGGACAGATATAATTTTACTTGATGTCAGAGAATATAACAGAAAGCTGGGTTACTGCAGAGAATGGAAAAATTCTTGTGATGCAAGTTAATTGATACACTTTGGGAAATGCAGTGCTGCACCATTGAGCACGTGGAGTTAACTTGATGCTGTTGATGCTTTCTGATTTCTGTGGTCTTGAAGTGGAAGAAGTACCTCTGTGCCATGCTTCTCCCTTAGCTATTTTTTTGTTTGTTTTGGGAAGCTCTAGCAGCTCAAGCACACTTTAAACATTTTTTTTCTTGAGCCTTACTATAAAGAAGTAGCATCACTTGGTTTGGCTATGTTTTTAGCTGATTTACAATGTTATGCTCGTGTAAAGATTATTTAATAACATATTTCTGCTTAATTCGTGTACTGTGAAACTGTGGCTAATATGATCCCTCTTGGTGTCCCTTTAGGTAAGCTGGTAAAAACAAACTGGTTTTACCATCAGCGTTGATGAAACTTAACCTCTTTTGTATTAGGTGTGTCAGTGGGAGGAAATGTATCACTTTGTTTTGATATTTTTTTTTACATTTTCCTCCTTAGATAGTTTTAGTCAGCTTTCACTGAAGGCTGAATATGCCTAGGGAATGAAAGCTGTCAGCAGAAATCTGCATGTCATACAAGTGACAGTTCTGGGAATAAGAAAGGAATTAAAATTCCTTTCTTCTGGAATGAAGCAATATTTTAAAAGGTTGTATAAGTTAATAAGCAAAATGTGGTGATGAACTTGAGTTTTAACTTCACAAATGAGAAATTAAAGCTGTTGCATTTTTCCAACAAATGAATTAAAAAACTTCTTAGCTTTGAGTGTCAGACATGGATCTTAGTTTTTGGATTTTGTTAAACCTTTTCCAGAGGTAGAAGTAAGAGACGAGCTTTACACAGCCTCTGCTCTGCTGA